CTGTGCTGCAGCAGAGGTATTTGCAGCTGGGCTGAGAATGCCAGGCTGGAGGAACAGTTGCCATATAAATAAGGGGAAAAAAAAAAAAATCTATCTCCTCTGTGCTTTTGGGGCTACAAGGGCTGACTTTGGGATTGGGGAAGGCTGCTCAGCCTCAAGCCTGGTCCAACACAGCCAGTACCACAGTACTTGGGAATAAGGGTCTGTTAGGGATACGGGGCTGCTGGATGGAAACTCAAGCAGCTGTGGGTAAACTTCTTTTGCCTTTTTTTTTTGTGTGTGTGATGATTTTATTCCAGGGAATGATGCAGCTTCTGGAGTGTTTCATTAGGAGTAAAAGCAGCAATGAAAATGCTAGCATTTTCACGGAGTAAGAGGAGTACTACCTTTTTCTTAGTGTAATAGCAGGAGAAGAATCAAGTGATTCTCGTTTTCTTTTCTAAACTGCTCCGAGCCAAGATGTGGTGTGTGGGGCAAGGTTGGAGGGGCCCGTCCACCTTTGTAGGCGTAGCTGTACTTCAGCTGATGCAATATCACGGTCAAGGCTCCTGACACGCTGTGGGGCACCCCCCAAGGAACACACCAGCGTGAGGTGGGCTGGATTACGGCATGGAAAAAGGCTGCTTTTGAAATTCAGGAGCCAAAATGGATCTAAACTACAAATCGTGCGAATTTTCCTGCCATCTGGCCTCCCCCCGCAGCACGCAGATCTGTGCTCGGAGGTTGGGGGGGACACACCGTGTGTGTTACAGGTGTCAGATGTGAGTGCCCTATGTGGTCTCCCCCCAAAACCCAGGTGCTAACAGCGTGTGTGAGGAGGCCATGGAGGGAATCTGAGGGGATGGATGCTGGGTGAAGAAGCTCCAGCTCGCCCTCTCCAGGGCACTGGGTGCAAGCAGAAGTTAACATGAGCGAGCAGTGACCAATCCTGCCCCCCCTCCGCCCCTCTCCCCCAATTGATAAGGGGCAGAGCAGCTGCTCCCGTGTGATTTCAGCTTCTCTAATCAGCGCCAAAGAGGATAAGGAAAGACATGGAAAGTGTCCTTGGGAAGACGGGGAGGGATGCAGCACCTGCAGGAGGAGAAGCCACCGAGAAGTAAGCAGAGGTGTTATCAGCCACAAACAATGTCCTGCCATGGCTATAAAAAGCCACCGGGGTGAGACCCCGCAAACTCCTTGAAGTTAACGGCGCCGGACCCACCGGAGCTCTGCAGTGACCGTCTTCACGTCCCCGGGACTGCCAGGACATCCAGCCAAGGATTGGTGAGATCTTATTACCGGGCTCGTACTACTCCTCTGCTTCTCTTCTCCCGTTCCTGTGTCCCTTCCCTGTTCCCCCTCCGGGAGCCGGGGCTCGGCCGTGGCCACCCATCCCCACCTTCCCCTTCCCTTGCTACCGGGCTCGGCATCACCCCGGGGAAGCGTTTTGGAGGGGTGGCTGAAGCGCGGGCGGGTTGATGGTGCGGGTGTTATGGTAGCTTTGCCCTGAGACGGAGCCATCTCAGATCTCATTCCCCTCACTATGATGACCGACATCGTTAGCAACTGGAAGCTGGAGCAGTTTGTGCTCCAGAAGTGTCTTCCCCCAATTTGGTCGCCGGGAGCCTTCCAGGGCCCAGAGGCGTACCAGCAGCTGTGCCAGCAGTGGGAGAGCTGGTCTGAGGAGACCAAAAAGCCCAAACCCACAAACAAGTGCAAGAAGCGGGCGGCTTTGCAGGGTTTGCTGATGGTGAGCAGGGAGCTGTCTAAGTTGCTGAAGGAGGCTCTGGAGAGCGTGCAGACGCTGGAGCAGGCCAAGGGCGAGCTCAAAATGCAGGTGGACAACCTGCGGGCGGAGGTGCAGGGTTTGTGCGGGGACTCTCTGCGGAGCGCGGTGGAGATCACCCGGCTGGAGAGCAAGCTGGGCTATGAGAAGCTGAAAACGGAGGAGCTGGAGAAGGAGGTTGGCAAGTGGATCGGGGAGACCCACGATGCCCAGAGCGCGGTGCGGGCAGTCCTGCAGGACGTCCAGCGGGACAGGGGCACGGGCCCCGATCACAAGGTATGCCATGCCAAGATCCAGGAGCTGCAGGCAGAGCTGGGGGTGTCGAGGGGCATCGTGGCTGCCATCCAAGGCAAGAGGAGCCGGTTCGGGAATGGTG